ATTGTTCTATTATGTGAACATTTAATTCTGAAATGTGTTAACGTGCATACTGTAGGTTATTGAACTATTGTAGTGGGCCCAGCCTGAGTAAATCCAACAAGCCTTCATTGACTAAAACAAAAGATTTTTTTTTAAATCTACAGTGTATTAACTGACACGGGAGATTTCCACATGGGTTAATTATCTCAGGTTTAATGCTATTGAGAAGTGTATTTTTTCCAGCTTCCCCACAGCCATTGTGTTACATTCCTGCACCTCCTGGGATTTCTCCAATCTTTCTCAAAACTGCTTTGCTTTGGGAAAGATTGCAATAAAGCTGAGATGGCTGCCATGTGGGTGGAAAAATTTGGATTTTCCCACCTATATGACTGCCATTTTCCCTGCCCTTACCCCTGTGGGGGCTTTTTAAAAAATGTCCTTTTTATATTCTTATAATATTATAACTCTACACGTACCAGGTTTTGTGAATTTGCAGATTTTATTAAAAAAAATAATTTTCTAGACCATTTCATAGGTGTAACTGGAAAGGCATGTCTCTTCAACAGAAGAGCCTAGAGACTTATTTTCTTCTACAAATGAAAGCTGTGAATTCACTGAACCTGGTACATTTATTGTTACAACTGTATACTGATATGTAACGGATGATTTTTAAAAAATCAAAAAGGCCGTAGTGGCCCAAAAGAGGGGAGATGGCCACTTCTGGGGGACGGGGCAGAGAGTGCTATGCGAAAGCCCCATTGCCACTGCGCCATATCAGCAGCTGCAGCAGCAATGGGGAAATCACACAAGGCTGTTGCTATGTGAAAACCACCAATGACTTAAAGATTATTTGTAATAGTCCAGTAATCTACTGTCTAACCTGTAATGTTGCATAGGTATATTATATATATATAATTGCCCTATGTATTGGCACTTTCGAACTCTCCCACTGGTCGTGCTGTGTGCTCCATCAGCCATTGGCCAGTCAACCACCACTCAAGAGTAGTCACATGCCATTGGCTGGGGGCTGGGTCCAATCCTCTTCCCTGCCCACTGCCAGCCTGGACACTCTTCCCTGACAGAATGAACTGCCAAAATAGCTGTCTCTCCTGACAAAGACACTTCTGCTTGGTTCCTCTGTCATAGGCTGGCCACTGAGGTGGGCCACCGGCTGTCAAACCATTCTCTTCTCCTCCTGCTGTGGGGGTAATTTATCCCTCAGTGGCTGCTGCTAGGCAACCAAGCTTGGTTCTGTCAGTAAAAAGGCAAAGGCAGGAGGCCCCTTCCTGGCCTCATTTGGCCTTTGTGAGGAACTCATTGGGGCCAGTCCTGACTAGGGTTGCCAGCTCCAGGTTGGGAAATTCCTGGATATTTTGTGGTGGAGTCTATGGAAGCCAGAGTTTGGAGAGGGGAGATGCCTCCGCTGAATAGATTGCCATAGATTCCACCCTTTAAAGCAGTTATTTTCTCCTGGGGGAGAGAGATCTGTTGTCTGGAGTTCAGTTGTGATAGCTGGCGATCTTTACCCCCACACCTGGAGGTTTGCTACCCTAGGCATAGCTGTTACCACTTCAGAGCAGGGTCTGCCAGATCCAGGTTCTTGCTGTGAAAGTTGAGCGGGTGATTTTGGACCAGTCACAGTCTTTCAGCCTAACCTACACAGGGTTGTTGTGCAGATCAAAAAGGGGAAAGGAGAATGATGTAAGCTGCTTTGATCTCCACTGTGGAGAAAGACTACTTTTCCTCTTGGGGAACCATTGCTGCCAATTTCCAGGATTAGCAATATTAGCTCATGCCTGGCACAATTATTTAGAACTATTCGGTCATTAGCAGAGCTGTCACAGAGCAGGCTAAATGATAGGGAATTGGACATTGGCTGTGAGGCTTTTGCGAGCTATTTTGCAGATAAAGTCCTGCTGCTCCACCGCGACCTCCCACCTACAGTTGAGACAGTGAGCAAACTCGAGGCTCCTTGCACGTCTTCTAGTTCTATTCTGGATTATTTCAGTCCACTCAGTCTTGAGGAAGTCGACAGATTGCTTTCAATGGTATGCCCAACCACGTGTTGCCTTGATCCGTGCCCTTCATGGCTTATAAAAGCTAGTCATGAGGGGCTACGAGGCGCCCTCAGGGACATTATCAACAAGTCCTTCATTGAGGGGCTTTTCCCAGGGGCACTCAAGGAAGCGATGGTCTGCCCTCTCCTGAAAAAA